TCTATACTTTTCGGTGGAGTGGTAGCTAGCCTAGAGGCTAGCTCGGTTCGATACTTATTTGCAACAGAAGTTGCAACCAGCTTGCTAACATCAATCTTTTGGTGGTGGTCACTTCGTTGGCCACTGAAAAGTAAGGCAAGATTGGCGCAGACCAAGGCATGGTCAGAGTCCAGATAGGTACTCCAAAAGGAGCGGCAGTCTTTTACACAACCACGCCAGCGGAAGCTGATCGCGATGTGATCAATCTGAGTCCAGGCTTGGGATGCAGAGGGAGGACGCCAGGTGGCACATCGGCGATGACTGTGCCGAAAGTTAGTGCTAGCCAGAAACAGGTTGTGGTCTGTGCAAAGTTGCAGTAGACGGTCCCCGTTATCTGACCTGCGACCAACGAGTCCCCATCGGCCACCTAAACGACTCTCTTCTGTGCCTAGACGCCCGACCTGAGCATTCAAGTCTCCGGCTAGTACTACAATATCTGTCGAACGCACTTTCTGGAGAAGAACTGATAACTGGTGGTAAAACTCATCCTTGATTGCATCCGGGCTGCAATCTGTCGGGGCATAGGCGGAGATGACGAAAAGACATCGTTTCTCACGCCGATTTCTTCTCACTTTGATGGAACTTTCTAATCTAGCAGCACATAGCCGACTGTTAATGGGGATCCAATCAACTAGTGCTGCCTCAGCTCTAGCGCTTAGTGCGACACCAACGCCAGCAAGACCAAACGAAAATGCCACAGGGTCCCCGGATAAGCGCACGTGAAACAAGCTTTTCGAAGCGACAGATGGAGATCGAATTTGTAGTACTTCGCCAGAGTCTTGAATACGGGTCTCGGATAGACAACAAACATCAATATTAAGACTTTCCAAAGACATAGCCAGCCCTATCTGTTGTCCGACCTGCACTAGCGTGCGAACGTTGAAGGCAGCCAGTTTGAATGGTGCACGTGGTTTCAGAAAAACTGCTTCAGTTCTCGTAGTCGGTGGTAACATACAATTTTCAACCGGACAGTGACTCGAGAACGTTTAGATACAGTCGAATTTCCACCAAAGACGAGCCGCTGTATAAGTATAAAAGAGGGAGAACAATGTGGAAAATAATAATAATAATAATAATAATAATAATAATAATAATGACAATAATGGTACTACTACTACTACTACTACTAATAATAATAATAATAATAATAATAATAATGACAATAATAGTAATAATTATTGGAATCGATTGATTATATATCGGAGCGAGAAAATTCGTTGCCATAGTCATAGAGTTCATCGTTTGTGTGTGGGCTTTGATACTGCCTGGGTGCACAAACCGAAGCAGATGGTTATCTTAAGAGGCCACATCCCGAGCCTTTGACCTAATGGTCTAACCCACAAGGCAGTGGAGCATCGTAAGGAGATGCAATCCCATGGTAGCCGGTGACCAACGACTGATTCATACGCCATTTGTTCCCGCAGGATATTAGAGCCTATGTGCACCATTGATTTGTGATCCGGTTAAAGCGTCGGACGTTCGCTTTTCGTCCTCTCATTTTGGTAAACAACACCCCCGCCACGAGAAGGCAATGAGTAGGACTTCCCTGGCAGAGGCTGTATACGCGTGGCCGTGTGAGAGTATTTCGAGGGGGAGAGCGGAATCTCCCCACTCTCGGCCGTACCAGGGCGTTCGGGGGCTAAACATTGGTACAAGGAGGCATCAAATACATATGCGCTTCATAATAACAATGAGGTTGTGAAGAGACAGATAATGTTAAGTGCATATGTTACAGAAACAGTGTGAATCTCTTTTAAAGATAGGGACAAATATTGACCATTCCATGATGTTGAAAGACTCTCAAACTGCCAAACCTTTGTAAACAACTTAGACAGTTCCTTAACTAGAAATTCACCACTATTTTTAAAAAGGGACGGAGTTAAGACATCTGTGCCTGCTGATTCATGACGCTTCAAGAGTCGGAGTTCCTTGCGGACTGCCGCCTGGTTAGGTGAGTCAGTCGCTACAGGTCATAGAAGGCAGGGCAATCTTTAAACAATGTCATCATGGCAGCAGACTGCTCCTCGAAAAACTCTGCCCATTATCAAAGATGTCAATAGATATTAGTGATTGGAATCCTGTCATCTCTACAGATTGTTTCACTTTCACCAGACCTCTTGCTCCCAGAAACGTTTACGAGTTGAAAAAGCTTCCAGAAGTTACCGGATGCATCTGGTGCTTCCAACTCATTGGTAAGCTCCAACCACCAAGCTTCTCGGTCCTTACTCAAGCTTTGCACAATTCCATTACTTAACAGTATTCGTTTATGGTCAAACTCGCGGTCATTCGGAGTAGATCAACGGGCTTAAACGAACTAGAAGGAATCCAGCGCTTATAAGCGGAATGTTTTGCGAAGCCGCAAGCGACTTTACTCGCTATTTTGGTGGTTTCATGCAAGTGCAGCCAATGCTTATCCATATTATTCGGTGGGATAGCAGCTGGCCTTAAACCTAACTCGGTTTGATATTTGGTTGAAATAGAAGCTGAAACCAATTTACTTACATTGATTCGTTGAGAATGATGAATTTTTTGGCTTCTGAAACGTAAGGTAGGATTAGAGAAAACAAGGGAATCATTAGAGTCCAGAGAGGTGCTGCAAAAGAAGCGGTAGTCTTGCATACAACCACGCCAACAATAGCCTAGACTCCTGACTTGAGCATTCAAACCCACGGCTATTACTACAACATATATCAAACGAACCTTTTTTGAAAGAACACTTAATAGGTGGTAAAACTCATCATCGATTGTATCCGGGCTGCAATCTATCGGAGCGTAGGTGGAGATGACGAAAGGACACTGTTTCTCATGTCGATTTCATCGCACATTGATGGAACTTTCTAATCTAACAGCACATAACCAACTGTTAATAGAGATTTAATCGACCAGTGATGCCTCAGCACTAGCGCTTAGTGTGACATCAACGCCAGCAAAACCAGACGAAGTCCCTGGATAAACGCACGCGAAACAAACCTTTCAAAGTGACAGATGCAAAGCGATTTTGTGGCACTTCACTGGAGTTTTGAACACTGGTCTCGGAAAGACAACATAAATCTATGTTGAGACATTTTAAAGGCATAGTCGACCCTATCTGTTGTCCGACCTACATTGGTGTGCTAAAGTTGAAGGAAACTAGTTTGAATGATATATGTGGTTTGAGTATTTGTAGTTAGTGGTGGCATTTAACTTTCGACCAGTCAGTGACTTGAAATCGTTCAGATGGAACAGGGTTCTCACTATAGGTGAGCTGCTTTATAAGTTGGAAAATAAGATAAAATGCACAAAATGAGAACAAAAGGGAGTACGTAAGTGAAGTAGTGTAAAAATGTAAAAACAGATTTTGTCAAATTATTGTGAATATGATTCGTCTGAATGAGAGTTGAAACAATAGTAACTTTTCCAGTAGTAATTACCATTTGATTTGTGTATAAGCTGAGATACTGCCCGGGTGCCCAAACCGAAACAGGTGGTTTCCTTAGAGGGGGGCAAACCCAAAGATCTAATTCACAAGGCATCAGATGAATGTTAGGAGATGCAGTACCATGGTAGCCGGTAACTAATAATATGTTCATATGCTATTTGTTCCCTCAGGACCCTGGAGCCCATGTGAACCATTGGTTTGGAACCAGGGTTTTCCAAACCCCTAGGTAGATGCTACTCATCCTTTTGATGTCTGCTTCCAATTCTCGATGCAATTTGTTCCTTGGTCCTCTTCTTTTCTGTTTACCTTCACCATTTCAAGTAAACGGTTGCTTCGTGATCCAGTCCGGTGATTCCCACAAACTATGTCATATCCACCCCAAAAGCCTTTTACAAATCTCCTCCTCAGATGGAAGCTGGTTTGTACTCTCCAACAGTAGGCTGTTGCTGATGGTATCCAGCTAACGGACATTGATTATCTTGAGTAGACAGTTTTTTTTATAAATACTTGTACATTTTTGATGATGGTTGTAGTAGTTGTCGAAGTTTCAGCTCCTTACAGTAGAACTGTCTTGACGTTCGTATTAAAGATTGCGACTTTGATATTGGTCGACATTTGTTTTGAGTCCCATATATTTTCCAACTGTGGGAATGCTGCCCTTATTTTTCCGATCCTTAGCTTTACGTTTGCGTCTGATGCTCCACATCTTTCAAAACTTCTCCATCAAGTGTGATTGGGTTATTGTTCTCCATGTTATATATGAGGATCTTGCTTTTGTTGTTATGTATATTGAGGTCTACTGATGCAGAGTCTTCTGATACACTGGCTTTCTTCACTTCTATTCGTTGGTGTATGAGATAGAAGAGCTATTTCACCCGCGAATTTCAAATCTTCTAGTTGCATCCAATCTGTCCAATGTATTCCGTACTTCTCCTGAGATATAGAATTCTTCATAATCCAATCGACTACCAGAAGTAAGAGAAAAAGGGAGAGTGAGAAGCATTGTGTGACTGCGGTTCTCACTCAGAATGCGTCTGTCAGCTGTCCTCCGTGCAGTACTTCGTAGTGTAGTCCATTGTATGAATTCCGGTTATTAGTTGATGAGAGTTGTGCTATTTTTAGAACTGATTAAATTTGGAAATGTAAACTATTGGATAACAATACAGCAATCTAAAGGTAGTGCACTCAATATGAGACTTGAAGATCTCGGATTTGATTCTTGGTAAATGCACAAGGTTGAATAGTGTTATGATAGGATAAAATAGCTTTTCAATGATGCATCTTTCAATATATCATTGCATCACAAAATAACATTAGAAATTAGACTAGATGAAATTCATTAGGAAACATTTTCTAAAAAAGAAGCGCTAAAGGTCTTACAATACACTCTGCATTTAAGGCAGTAAATTCTAAAACTAAACTCAAATTGTGAATTAATTAATTAATTATTCGAAGATCCATCATCATAACACATTAATCTTTCCATCTGATTTTTATATATTTTTTTCTAGCGAATCTTTCATTACAAAACAAATAACCGATCTATAAACTGTCTGATATACTTCACCATCTATTTATATCGGTGCATCAATCACTACTCATCATTTCAATGAAAAATACACTTTAACAAAAAAGAATAAAACAATGCGTAAAAAAAGTTTGTTTCTTTTTTTACAAATCAAATAATCACACAAAATACGAAAGACCATAGTACAAATGATAGATAAAAGATATTCAAAGATAGAAACATGATTAAAATGATATATGGAGACATTTGCTCCTGTTCGATGTACAACTGATTGTCAATTAGTTAAATAAACAATTTATGTGCAAACTACAACACAAAGAGAAAAAAAGTACTACAGTTTTTCACAGTTTTCCTTGATTAATTCACAATAGATGGAGAGAGAGTCAGAGAGTGAGAGAGAAAGAATGTTCGATATATTCAACGTTTACAAGATTTTCAATGTAATCCTTTATCTTACTGCATACAATGATTAGAACGTTGAAATACATGATTTAATTTATTATCATTGTTAATAATATCACTAATGGTATTATCATTATTAATATTACTATTATTATTGATACTAACATCATTACTTTTCAATGAAGTTTGGTTTGTATGATGATAATTATTGTAACATTTTGTTTCATGAATAGAATTTAATTTCGTTATTTGATTGGATTCATCGGAGAGTTCACTTTCACTACGACAATCCTTAACAATCTGTGTGATATAAAATGAACAAATAAGATAAATAATAAATCTGATTCTTTTTTTTTAAACCATCAATACATTTTTCAGCTTATTTGTTAACTTAATGTAATATTATCAGAAATACTGGATGCCTATGTAACAATCAATGGTGAGATTTACTGAGCTATATTCAGCTATGTATTATTCCATATCTGTTAGACATGACCTAATAAGGTAGAAGATATATTATATGGAGTATGAGTATTGAATCAACTTGACGCGTAATTGTGAATGGCATGGGTAGTTGAGAAAAATACTAAAAACGAAGATACTAGCATTTGAAATTAGTTCAATCAATTCCTGATTGAGGTTCATACACTGGGTCATACGGGTCGAAATCGGTTACAGTGGTGCAGTTGTATTCACTGTATATTTTACTCTAAGTTTTGAGTTTTGTATCGTTTCAAGTTTTTTATTTATTGATTTCATTTATTCCTGTGAACTATATGTGGTGTTTTCATGAACTGATGATTACATTGTACACGATGTCCGCCCAATTTCGAACTCCAAATACAACACGTTCGTTTTTGTTCACTTAGTTCTTCTTGATATAGATTGCGTTATTCCTGGGATTCCTAGTTCGTATAATAACTCAAACACTTCCAGTCATCACACTATAGTCCCGATTGATTTAAACTAGATAGATTATTACTACTAATGGAATCCAGCATTAGCATTTTATCATAAATCAAGACTTACCAATCTGATGTATTCGCCTACTAATGTTACTTTAAACTCCTAACGTGTTATAAACTGAGATACTGAGATCAGATAGCTATTAACTTCTTCAGTGGGTATGGTGCTTAAATCATTAAAATAACGGTCTGAGTTATCCTATTGTTGCTTAGAAACATTACAAAATTGATAACTGAAACACTATCTAATAATTATATAATTGAATTAATAAAGAAAAATAACATATCGAACTTACACGTCCATTTGATTTGACTTGTACTGCAATTTTTACAATTAAACAAAACCAATAAATATGCAAAATTTGTAAAACTAATAAAAATCCAACCATAATAAGATTAGCTGGATATGGACCATATACAAAGATGCCAAATTTAAAAGTTGTCCAAATTACCCTGGAAAATAGATATGTTAATGAACAAGGAATAAATGAGTACTTGAATTGAATGGGATCATTAAAAATAATATCATATATATATATATATAACATTATTTTCACTGAAGCTCAAAACCAACGATAATATGAAAAGTGAATATATATGAGCTATTGTAATCGATTCTGAGCCATGTTATCCAACGTCCTTAACCACGGATTGTGATAACTGAGGGAATCCCAAACTGGTAGTTTGTAACTATTAATATGACGGAGGCTAAGTAATTAAATTACTTGGGTTTCAATCAATAGGTTACGATTTTGAACAACGCACCGTCTACTTCAATTTCGGCACATGAATAGAATAACTAGCCCTCACGCAGACTATCTCAATGCTCACAAAGCGACTTACACCTCTCTCTCCCTATATATATATATGGAAGGTGAGAGAGAGGAGAGACGCGGAATTGATAGGTTTATGTACTTTGTATTACACTATCAGAAACATTTTCATCAGTATATATTGATGAAAAGCAGTCATAAACATTAAAGAATTTTAGAAAATGCTCATCCGGCTGAATATTTATATCAAATAATGTGAAAATTCTAGATAAAAGACAAGTTTCTAACAAGAGAAAATTGATTCTGATCGTTACTTAGTAACAACTATAGAAATAAATATTACAATCATTTAGCTTTGCACGAATTAATTTTTACCTTAGTAAACTTATCCAATCTTAGAAGACTTTTAGGTGGATCAAAAATGAGGTCCAAAATGCTATAAGCAGTAAGCTTTTAGTAAAAATATGTGAATCGATAGTACGATGGATAGTTAGTTACGATTGATGTTGATGTATGTTGGTGAAAGTAATTGTGATTAGTCATAAAATGTGAAGTCAGTGCATAAGTCTTTGGACTTTCAATTGTAGAATTTCCAATTCAGACAATTTAGTGACTAAATATGTTTTAATGTACTCAGACTATTGATACTGTAGTGAACAAGAACACAGGCGTGGACGAACGAATGTAGTTAGCATAACATAACACGCAAATACTACTGAACCCGATTCAAATCTAGTAGTTAATGCTTAAAATTTCAATCACTTAAAAATCATTGCAAACTACATTTCAAATAACTCAACTTGAGTAACTTGTAAATGTCTTCATTCTTCTTAAAATAAACATGACTTAATGTGGAGTACAAGAAGGTGTAATCAATTCATGATGCAAATGATACAAATTAAATAGAATTATTTCACACTATATTATGCATTTCATATTATTTTTCAAGATGACAAAAGTCATTATATTGATATAGAAATTGAAGTTTCGAAAGAATTTAGTTATACTTATTAACAATTTACAAAAACATTTAGTCACTTAGTAAAGTAAGTTTCTGAATTGTCAGCTTCGTTTAATTAGCTATTATTCATGGTAGTAGTTGACCTATAATAGTCTTTTTCTTTTAGACACTGTGGACGAACGTTTATTTTACTAAAATCATATACTTTACTAAAACGTTTTTAGTCGCTCCATTAATGAAAACTTACTACTATTGTTGTAGCCAGAGTTTCTACGTAGTATAGGAGCCTTTGTAGAATCATAGAGTGTTTCAATGATCGGTAAATTCATGTATATCACTAGTGTAATAATAACACCAGCAACAAAAATAATGTAACTTAGGAAACCACGGTAGTGGTTAAGTAATCTGTTTTTAGGTATGTTTGACACAACGAACAATTATGAGGTTAAAGCTGCAAAACTCAATGGTTAAAATGTGAATTGTTGGAAAACCATAGATTATCATTGCCTTGATGATAATACCCATGTCTTAGGCTTTGTAGTGTCGGGGATCTTTAATATTATTCAGCTTTAAGAGTCAGTTTTAATTGTAGATTGATATCAGCTTGGATTCCATTTCAAACAAAAAAAACAACTCTTTTGTTTAAGTTCAGGATAACAAAACAGTATGAATTCACGACTTTGTTGAGGATCAAACCCTTAAATTATGGAGTTCAAACATTCAGGCATTAATATGAGCTTATACATATTGCGCTCAATTCAAGAACTGAAGACCACTGAATCATGGGTATGTATTGATGAAAATGTTCAAACAAGGACGAAACAAGTACACGATGGTCAACTGCATTCAATGACTTTTTAGTCAATGTCATCGTATAATGAAAACAGAATTCGAATTGAGAATTTATCTTTATATCAATAAAAATATGAATGATATTATATATATCAAATACTATAAGAATTGTGTGATTTTTATTTATACTGAGAAAATATTGAAATACTTACCACAGTGGAAAGTATGTTAATCGTGTAACAATCCAAACGGGTACAAAAATAGAAAATAACACTTCAGTGGCCAATTGTTTATTGACATATTTGCATATCTTAGCTGCCTATAATAGTAATAATAATATAAATAGTAATAATAATAATGGTTATAATAGTATGTATTAAAATTTATATAATTTCACTATTGATTTATTCGTTAACTTATTAGAAAGAAAATATAAACTCAGTTGGCTTTTTCATATTCAGAACAGTCGCTTAAAGGTTAAATCTCAGTTGTCTACATAACTGTGTAAGATGATCATATAACACAAAAGTGATAGAGATTTCAGTACTGGTACCTTAGGATCTTTTCTTATGTTTAACTGAAGAACAACTGATTATGAATTGACATCATTGGAAGTTGTATTTTTGTCAATAACACTAAATCTCTTTTTAAAGCTTGGAAATTGGATTGAAAAGTTTTAGAAAATGTGTTGTGTTAGATCACTCACTATTTATCCTAATGCATGATTTTATTTATAGTGGATTTAGGATATAGAAGTTTCGTTGATGATTACAACAAAATATTTAACAAAATTGTTCAACTGGTCATCGTTTCGGGTTTACAGTGGAACTGGACCTGTACAAGTCATATATACACTTGTTCGGTTATTTTAAATGTCTTTCTTAGTTACTTATAACATGAGTTATGGAAATCTTTACCTATTCAATTTGTAGCGTGTTTTATTCTGTCAATTTGATGCCCTACTGATTAAAACCCTATTATAGAAATAATTACAAGTAATATGTGACATATATTATTAATAAAGATTTGCGAAGGTTGCAATTATTCGATCATACTTGTCTTACAAATCTTCTTAAATCTAGTGAAATAAGAGAAAAGAAATATTGAAATTAACTACAGATTAATAGATTAGTGTAACAAACCGGTTGATGACGTTGTGAACAAAATATAAAGTTTGCAAACATCTCTACTACTTAGCTTGGTATCCTATGCCTAATTGCAGAATATAAACAACGCGAAAAGTAAATGAAGTTAGTCCTAAACTAGCCATAATAATGCTTTTAAACCCATCAAGTCTCAAACATTGTAGAATTCTATTTTTTTCATCCAACTGACAGAAAAATATTGGCTAGAGTTCTCTGTGCAAAATCCAAGTATTAATGGCAGTTAACGTGACTGAGATCATTCTCAGGGTTTCCAGTGTTCAGGAAATGTGTTGTACATAATCGTATCGGTCGTTTTTACACTATTTTTAGGGGTGCGTTGAAAATTAAAGTGTAATTTCCACTAACGATTTTATTTTCAGCTCTAAGTCACAATATATTTTGTGTATATTATCTGACATATCAAGCTGTGTTACATAGATACGTTCGTATTAAGCAGTTTAGATTATTGAAATGAAATCTTCGAATAAAATGACACACAGATATCCAGTACTTATGCACCAAATGAATACAAAATTGACTGGAATTAAGATGTACAACACAGTGAACATTGAGAATAGCCTAGGCCGCTAACATTCAGCTTATTAATAAACTTTGTGAAGAATGTCATTGATTTAAAGTTCAAATTATTTTGAATTAATCATAAAAAGTTTATTGTGCCATTCTGAAGTTGAAATAACGAGATATCAGTGCGAAACTATACAGAATGCTTGTTTCTTCTCATACAAATTCTATTCAAAACATTATTTAGGAAGAATTCTTTTCTCTCACTTTCGTTCAAAGTTAATTGACCAAATTATGTTAATGTTGGTTCTTTAAATAATAACTAATCTTTTAGCATAAAAGTCGCTGTTTATATAGAAGACAGTTTATTTAAAAATAATAAAAGATCACTCTTAAACTTTAAAAAAATTAGAGGCTATACAAAAACTATTATATACATTTAACTTTTGTTGTATGATCAATCTTCACAGGAAGCATTTACCAATTAACTTTAATATTGGAATGATACTAATTTAACCTTTCGCATATGTTTCATCGAACAATCATAATTATACAATACTCTCGATTTATAAAGGTTATTAAAATAGAATAAATGTCGATTATGGTGTAGACAGAACCTGGAACAAATGTGCAATAGTTCTCAGACTACATTTTAAGAGACTCAAAGAGATATTTCTATAATAAAGCTGATGACATTGAACAATGAATAGCATAATATAATATTTGAGTGTAGATTTAAAAAGGAATTATAGGATGAATGCAACTGTGTCGATACGATCCATTTAATATTATCTATGAAACAGAATAAGAAGTTATATGATAACATATACTTTATATATTTGCAGGTCATTTATAAGAATATAGTTATCAGAATACATGTGAATTACAATCACATAATTTCTTTTACTCACTTCCATCCAACAATCTGCAATATCATGAAGTATGAGAACAACAGAACCAACTCGATGATAATTTGTTATATATGAGAATGTTAACAATGAAACTGTTGAAATATGATGTCCAAGAAGAACTTTGAAATCCTTTTAAAGAAATAGGTAAAAATTCATTGAGCAAACATAATTAATGAAACTAAGGAGTTATAAAATTAATATGAGTTATTGTACAAGAGGTTTCATAATAAGGTGATTCAGTTTCCACTTTTCGTATAGTCTAGATGTGATTAAAATTGAACTGATAAGTATTTATTTCACATTTTATACTTTTGTGTTTGTACAATGGAAAATTGGCAGGATTTTGAAACTCAAAAATGAAGTGAAAATAAATTCAAAGGCTGTCACCTCTTTTTAAAAATCTAATGTTTAATTATAGATAATGATCAAACTGTAAACCTTGAGATTTGAATCGTGCAACTCTCTACTCAGTTTATCTGATCATTTACTTAAATCGTATCATTTACAACTAACTTAGAAAGTGGATATCAAAAAGATATTTCGCTAAATTAAATAACCATTTAATTTGTTAACATTAGTTTAAATTGTTAGTAAGATGTACAAGATTTAGCAGCGAGTATTTACTCTTATCCAAAGCCAACTGATTGTAAATAAATTAATTAATAAAACTACCATGAAATAATTGGAATTGGTGATTTACATAATCATAAAATTTACCATTGAAATAAAGTATGTTATGTTAGTAATTGAATTCATGAATCAATCGAAGCTAAAATGCCATTGAAAATCTTGAAGCACTGGACGGCCGTTTCGCCATGTTGTGGGACTCCTCAGCAGTGGGCATCCACGATCTCGCTCACGGGATTCAAAACGGCCGTCCAGTGCTTCTAGGTTTTCAATGGTGGTCCAATATTATGCATTATGTTACTCAGCCTAGTTTATTAACTAAATAGCAAAGGATATCACCGAATGCACGCATAATTGAACATAGGAACAACGGACTTTGTGTTTTGCAAGGGTTTCAGATTTATGAGCCTGGCGCAAATTTTCGAATTCAAATGGTTTACAAAATTGTCCAGCATAAAGTTAACTATTGTATCTTATTTAGCTCTTCAACATTTACTTCTGGGACGTCCAAAACCAGAATGAATCATGTATCTCAGGTTTCTTTTTTCAGTGTTTCTCCAGCTCATTCCAGACTGTGCTGAAAACTAACTACAAAGTGGACGTACACGACGAATCCCTAGTTACAGGGCATTGAAGTAACTCAAAGTGTCCTCAATCCCAAAACTTTTAAATCAATTTTTTGAGTAATGAACGGATAAACGATGACACATACCCTTGACAGACCTAGAGAGAATAGATAATTGCTTGTACATACACCATAAAATCTCCTAGTGGAACTATACTATAAATCATTTCTAAAAAGATTGTAGTGCTCAAAATACTATTATTACTGCATACCGATATCTTTAAAGACGGCACTAAGTGAATCGTTACTTTTTACCTCATTAGTGTCTGTCAAATGTCAAGAAAAAATTGTTTTAGAGTAAAATGTTTCAAATAAGCCACAAGAAATAGTGAAAATGTTCGTGTGCAGACACGATGGTTAAGAATAATTGTACGACCAATAAAAATGAGCAAATGAACAAATTAGTCAATGTTAGCCAACGAGTAGAATTATGTTACTATAAGTCTATAAGAAACTTCGCCATTAGCTCTTCTAGGGTTACTGCCGGTCCCAAACACGGACAAACGAGGAGGGTTGGAAATGGGGTCAGTAATCCCATACTGTAGAAACGAACATCTCCAAAAAACGCTAACCAGAATAAACAAATTGAATCACTTCAGCTCTGCCCTACGAGTCAAAAGGTCTTCACATAGAAGAATAACGACGCCTCATGGTGAAAGCTGAGATTCTTCAGAAGTCATGAAGCCGATGTTCACTCAAACAGACAGAACAACTATTAATATAAGTAAATAGGATTTCCAGATAATATGGGAAACCACAAAGACTACTCAATATTCCTACACAAATGCATTCACAAAACTAAATGCATTTCACCGGGCCAAACCACGGAGAACCAGAAAGATCATATTTGTGTCCATAAAATATTTCGAAGGAATATGGAAAATGTGAGAACCAGGAGGACTCAGTATACTAATAATAAGAATGTCTGCGGATAGAGTTAGAGCTACAAGACACTGGAACCTTCTGGTCCACATCTTTGTTACTGACCACACCATGGAGAACCAGAAAGATCATATTTGTGTCCATAAAATATTTCGAAGGAATATGGAAAATGTGAGAACCAGGAGAGGAGCTGATATAGCTTCAGATCACCACTTGGAGTTTGCCAAGATGAAACTGATGCTAAGGAAACACTGGACAACTGTAGAAACAACATTACAAAGGTTCAATTAAGACTTCCTAAGAGATACTGACAAACTCAACGAATTCAAGATAACTCTCAACAACAGGTCCCAAGCCTTACAAGATCTACTGAAGGAAGAAACTACCATAAGGGACAATTAGAAAGGGACCAAAGAAGCACTAACTTCAACATATCAGTAGGTTCCGGGCCGCAAGAAGAATCACCATAAGGAATGAATCTCCATCGAAACCCAACGCAGGATTCAAGAAAGAAAGATCAAGAAGACAACTATGAACAACAGCCGAACAAGAACAGAGAAAGTCAAGGCACAAGTTGAACACACTGAAACAAACAAACGAGCGGAGAGGAGCATTACAGCCGACAAGCAGAGATACGTCGAAGACCTACTAACGGCAGTGGAAAATGCTGCAAAAGAAGAAAATATCAAACAACTAAATCACACTACGAAGAAACTGGCGAGCAAATATAGTAAACCAGAGAGACCAGTCAATGACAAAGAAGGCAAGCCAAACAATGAGATCCAGAAACAGAGGAATAGGTGGGTGGAACACTTCGAGGAACTCTTGAGTAGATCAGCTCCATTGAATCCGCCAGACGTCGAAGCAACACACAAACCCTCCAACAGGTGTTACTCCACCAGCAGTCAAAGAAATCAGCATGTTCATCAGATAAATCAAGAGTAGGAAAGCAGCAAAACCTTTAAGAATACCAGCTAAAGCACTGAAGTCGGACATAAAAGCAACCGCAAACATGCTGCATGTTCTATTCAGGAAGATTTGGAGGGGAGAACAAGTGCTGACCGATTTAAAAGAAGGATACCTCATGATGATACCAAAGAGAAGAGATCTGAGAAAATGTGAATACTAAAGAGACATTAACATACTATAGGCACTGGGAAATGTTTTTAACAGTGTAGCTGGACCGGGTGAAAGATTCAGTCGATGTCCAACTTCGAAATCAGTAGGCTGGATCCCGTAAGCGTCAGTCGCCACCACGGATCATTGTTGAGCAATCAACTGTATGGAATTCATCACTATATATCAGCTTTCTTGGCAATGAGGAAGCAGTTGACAGTGTAGACAGGAGAACCTTCTTCGGGGTTATAGTGTGCCCGGGAAAATCATCAATGTCATCCGAGATTCATACGATGGACTACACTGAAAAGTCATTCATGGACGACAGCTGGCAGACGCATTCCAAGTAAAGAGCCGTAATAGACAAGACTGCTTACTTCCACCTTAAACAATTTGGACTTCATAAATGACCTTGCCATTCCATTCCGTACACATTAATAAATGCAAGTAAAGACAGCCAGTGTAGAAGACGTCTCTGCATCAGTAGACCTCAATATACACAAAAGAAAATGCAAGATCCTAATATCTAACATAGAAAACAATACCCCAATCACACTTGATGGAGAAGTTCTGGAAGATGTGGAATCTTTCACGTGTCTGGTCAGCATCATCAATGAACAAGGAGCATCAGACGCAGATGTAGAGCTAATGATCGGAAAAATAAGGGCAGCATTCCCACAGTTGGAAAACATATGGGACTCAAAACAAATGTCGACCAATATCAAAGTCACAATCTTCAATACGAACGTCAAGACAGTTCTACTGTAAGGAGCTGAAACTTTGACAACTACTACAACCATCATCAAAAATGTACGAGTTTTTATAAAGAACTGTCTACTCAAGATAATCAATGTCCGCTAGCTGGATACCATCAGCAACAGCCTACTGTTGGAGAGTACAAACCAGCTTCCATCTGAGGAGGAGATTTGTAAAAGGCTTTTGGGTTGGATATGACATAGTTTGTTGGAATCACCGAACTGCATCACGGAGAAAGCGTTTACTTGGAATGGTGAAGGTAAACGGAAAAGGGGAAGGCCAAAGAACAAATTGCATAGAGAATTGGAAGCGCACGTCAAAAGGATGAGTAGCATCTGGAAAAAACTGGAAAGGATTGTTCAGGACAGAATTTGATGGAGAATGCTGGTTGGCGGCTTATGTTCCTCCACGAGTAGCAACAATCATAAGTTAGTAAGTAAATAAGCCTTTATGAAAGCCAACCATGATGTTGATGGAGAATAATAGTGTATCATAGCTCCACAATTCTCTCACAGGACTGAAGTAAAACGTTTTAATTATGACGATCCAACATGAAGTATTGTGTCTGTAGAACGTTTCATCCCAAGTGTGTTATTCTAAGGTACATACATGTTAGAGGTTATAAGCAAATTATACTAGAAAGTAATTATAGATATTTTCATTTGGAAAGGGCAGGAGACATACTATAAAGTAACACATAAACATGTTCATCATAACACTTCCTGGAATGCTGAAACGCTCATAGTCAATTTTTCTCTTCGTAAGTTTCATGCATCCCAAATGTTTGTATTGTATTCGTCCTTTATATCCACAGCAGAAGTTTTTCAGATATTCAAAAATCAACATAGAGTTTTTATTGAATCAGCTCTTCAATTATTTAAATTGTGTCAATGTAAGTTTTGGTGCACCTCCTTGTAAGTTATATTTATTGTCTTCCAGGGAGATACCTACCAGGACTAAGGCTAAATGTTTTTATGAACATAAAATCTTCTAGATGTTATCAAAATATGATAACGGCAAAGCTGAACCTAAGAGTTATAGTTACTATGTGCAAGTGACATATACCTTATAATTCTAACCAGATTGAGCACTGATACTTCGATTTAGCTGTCACCTTTACACACTTTAACCGATTTTAATAGATAATAAAGTCCTGATGAGTAAAAACTATCCAAACAGTAAGGTTGACGGCAATGATAATTATTCACAATGTTTATAGGTAGGTGGGCTTTTTAGATAACCCTAATGTCTGTTTAATTTCTAAATGTTACTAGTAGACTTCGTTACCGTTATCAGTATTACATGTTGAGAGGTGTATACCAAATACAATGATATGATACATGACGTGTAGCTTTAAGTTAGGTAATTAGTTAAGTGGTGGTGTTATAGAATCGTTAATATAGTAGTTGGATTACAGTAAAGAGTGATGGAAAACACACGAATGTCTATTACATTCCAGGAATCTTTAGAACAAAATTTCCATATTGGAAATAGCTGGCACTATTGATAATTTCGTCAGCACGTTGACATGATTCTTATCTTAGTAGGTTAAAGTTTGATAAAATCAAAAGCTTTAGTTTGCATGTGAAGGACACAAGAGGATGTTGAATATCGTATGAAAAACGTATATGCGCAAACACATGTAGTCGGTTAAAAGCAATCACCTTGGTATCCTATTTCCTGTCAGAGTATGTTACTAATAACCATAAATTCATAATGGACCAAACGTTATGTATAAATTAGGCCAAAACGCACGTTTTTAGAAAAAAATGTACTAACCGATCGTTTGACTTCATAAAAAATCCATAATAATGAAGCTGTGTAGTATCCAAGTTGTACCATATAATACCAATGAATTTCTGGGGTCAAAACCTAAAGAACAGAAAGAATACGAAATCTAAAATAAAATAATACAAATTTAAGCGATTTATCTTCATAAAGTAGAAAACAAAGTAGCTAGCACATAACAGGATGTTCAAGAAAAATTAAAAGAATTCTGTTATAATCACATTAAATAAAGTATGAAACGTTTTAGATGAAACATGGTTCCAGTACAAAAACTGTACCCAATCCTAAATCATATTGAATGTCTCCCGCTTATAGAAACTATAAATTTTATGTGTGGAAGCAATAGTTCAACGGTTAAAGTGATGATCTTCAGCCAATAAGCCGTAGGTTCAAATCCTAGTCAATGTATGTTGTCTTTCGTAGCCAACTGGTATTAACAGCCCTCGCAGAAACACTGTAGCTCAAAGAAGGAGACATATAAGATGGATGAGTTATTCATTTAATTAAAATTCAACTCCAATACACTCTTTTCCGCCACATAATCGACCCATAAGTTGGTAGAATAAAGAGTGACTTGTGAAAATAATAATCGTTAATCAACGACGAGACTCTAATAACGGCTAATCATCCCAAACAAATAGCATTAGTGGAAAAAATATCACCATCTTGACAGCCTTAAGTCTAATAAACGATCAGTATGTAGAATGACAGAATGCTGATATTTGGTAAAAGAAAAGCTTATGGTACATAAGAATAGCCAGGGTACATATATATTGGATAATTTTCTCGGCAGTAGTGATATGAAGTCTCTGTGATGTGCGACCACTGTTAGGAGACTTTCCTGTATGTACATTAAAGAACGCACCACAGTCCAAAGAATAAAGTCAAAGCTTTGTCCACAGACCATAAGTCCATATGACTCTATCAACATAATTCAATTAGAAAACAATACATTTGTAACACCCTTAAAACAATCCATATTTTTTAATTCGGATAAAAATTTTGAATTAATGGATTTCCAATAAGAAAATTGATGTACGATGATTACAAATATCTTTAGTAAAACAGCTCGATGTTGAACAAACTTTGACAACATATTTTGGGCATTACAACAGATACATTGTATACCCTAGTTAAAATCAATGTATTTACAATAAAAAATTGTGAAAATTACACCAACACGTGGCAGTTGCCACGGAAGTCCACACTTGAGTAAAAAAGTGATATATAATAAAGTAATTTCGAATTACATGATATGGATAATTCAACATCGTATCTCTCACATCCCAGAAGTAGGACTTCTAAAAATAAGTCGTTTAATTACTTTAAATAAGACATACATCGTGCAACGCAAATAATCCGTACAAAAACATGGTAGTATAGTAGCATAACTTCCACCTAACAATCAACGTTGGTTACAGTTAAATCCACAAACGTTACTCAGATTCTACAAATTTCACAATCGTTGGAAACTTTTCGCAGTTACGTTTTTTTCGAAACCACGCTTCAATCGACCGATCGCTTAAATTAAGAGTTTTCGAAAGTTCCTACAGATATGAGCACAAGATATAATGACTACCTTTATCTGAGCGTATGTGGGTTTGTGATTTTTTTCAAATACCATCTTTAAGGCCGGTATGTCAGGAACATGAGATATTTTGGGGAAGCGCAAACCCAGTGAAAGACCATGAGGAATAAAAACAGACCTAGAGATAAAAAAGTTAAAATTATAGTCCAACATACTCTTTCAAATAATAACGAATGGCTGTAAGAACAGCTACAGCATAAAAGCAGTCCATAGATTTTGTGAGAGTTGGTGAAACACCAGCTGAATTTATTTCTTTCATTAAATCCCATGTTACGTTTGGCGGAAGCCAAAACTTTTCATTCCATATAAAAGAAGACATAATTAAAACGTAAAGCTCTGAAATTTCTGAAGAATTTTCGGAGTGAGCGCAACAACAATAAATCCTAATCTGAAGAAACCATAGCAACCGTGAACGGTCGACTTTTATCTGGAGCGGGCAGATTTAACGTTGAAAAATTGTCCAGTTAAACGAACACTGAAGTCTTACGACTAGTCGAAAAAATATGGACCATTTAAAAAATTGTTTTTGTTTTATTTTTAATTGGTTTTTTAAATTAATATTTCCATGGTACATGCAGTTTTTATTGGTGATAAAAATTACGAAAATACACTAGATAAATCATGATCCGATAGCCTGGAACCGGTTTTTGTTGCTACTATATTGTTTTTACGAAGGTCAGACAATGGTATACTTCATTAATAAGAAATGTCACCTCATTTAGCTATCCTGACATGGAGAAACGAGAATATTGATGTATCATTAGTGATTGGTTGAGATACAGATCGACATTTGTGAATACGGAAGCGTGAAAACATCTTCGACATAGCATTTAGGTGGACAGTAATCAGGCTGAAATTTCACTTCATCGGGAACTCAAGGCTATTTATACAAATGTGGAAGAAATTTATATACAAGTAAAGTTTTTGTAATAATAATGTAATAATTTAGATTTCTATAACGACAAAAAATTGATTTGCTAAGAAGCATATTAAATTGTAGATGATTTCGCACCCTCTTAAAATCACGTCATATTCGTTTCGAGCAATTTTTTCTTTAAATCAAGCAATTCAGAACTTTCCGAAGTATTGTAACGACTTTGTGGTTTGGGGTGTCCGGGATCATTTCTTCCTCAACGGTTGCGTAGCTTTACTTCTGACGACTGAAATAACTAAAATATTCTTCATGCCAGAAAACAAGGTGTTAAGTTGGAAAATAAGGATTTTCGATTGTAAAGGTTTGAATGCAGCCTGCCTATAATTTATCAGAGAAGTGACTTTACCTCTTTATAGATCATTAGGGTCGGAGTGGAACAATAAGCGGATAGATTTCAAGTTTTATTCGTGTTTGATTGATGAAACAATAGCTGGACGAGAAATGGTATTAGCCGTTTCATCTTTGTATGACCCACTACCGATTATCCAGCCAACTCGTCTCTTGACCAAACAGATCTTACGGAAAATATGAAAGAAGCGGAATGGTTTTGACCAGCGGCTCAGTTATTATGATGAGGACAAGTGACAACAGTGAATCGGATTCATTCAACGCTTATATTAGGCTACAACAATGCGGACAAAATGAATTTACCACATTCATGATCAAAAAATACTGTCTGTGTATCATCCATTAAGAATGATAATACTTAGGGTGTTAATAAATTCAGAGGGTTGTGTATTGAAAAAGTCCAGGAAAGATGAGAGATCTCGAAAAGTGACTAAAACATCGAGATTTCTTAAAAAAATATAGTTTAGTTTTTTAAGAGAATGCTTGGGATTCACTCCTGAAGACATTTATTCGAATCAACAGGAGGTCAAGTCCGTCAAAAGTGTTATTATATATAAGCCGCGTTCACTTTGAACTCATTACTTGAACTGGATGAGACAAATCAGAGTGATTACTTAGTTTAGGTTTGTTGGCTTTTCATGTGTCATATATCCTCAATGTCAAGACAGTCTACTATCTCGAGAAATTTTGAATTTCGGCGAAAACGAACCTACCGCGGGCAGAATTTGTATTTAATACTGAGAAAAAAAGCTTAAGAGAAAACTGAAATCATTGGGATATCACGATCTTAAAATTTATCACTTTTAATCACAGTTGAGCTAATATGCATCGGCGAGAATGCTACGTACAAATTTTGTTCAAGTCCTTTTGTTGGACCATAGTCAATTGACCAAATAAAACCAGGTAACAAGAGACTTATTCTACAGTTTAGGTACCAATGTTTATTTGTAAAACACATGTGATAAAGGCAAGTCTGGATCGAATAAATATTATTATAAAAGCGTCAAGAACACTTAACTTACTTATATAACTCACAAGGAACTAGTACTACACCATGTCAAGTGTAAAAATCCCGAATGCTATATGGGAGGATAATTTTTTAAATCTATTCGCCAGAACATCAAGAATTCCGCTACACTGCATCATTCAAATTCAACGCGTACTCAGGGTTATGCAGATAACTCATTGTTGATTTGCAGAGCAGTTCACCAAAATGAGCATGAGTTTGGTAAGTGTTTGTTCAATGACAAATTTCACTCATGTAATTCATGTCTATTTCATAATGCTCAATGCCTTAAATGTGGTTAAGTTGGACACATACAGACAGTAATACTGCTGTTCATTTCCATGCATGTAATGCTCAGTTTCGTAGTTCCGACCACATTAAGTTGAATGTATCGAATGAAACATACTCTGTCAGATTCGTGATACGATTTTGCCAGATATGCATCATGACTTGCGTATTTCTAATGGAATTATTGACACATATGTGAAAGATATATCGAGTGCAAAAATCCTTCTTAGAACACTGGTGTTATTTTATCAGATGTAATTTGTCCTGATGACTTATTTATTTCCGTATAATATGTTGGATATTCTCACAACAATTTTATGTTGGGTAGAATTCCTAGTCAGTGGTATGATGAATCAGAGAGAATAGCAAGTTTTTCTGAATCAGTCAAAAAACCAGTTTGCGCGGATACGAAGCTTGCATAGGGAGAAAATTCAAACCGAGTCCAAGATTATAGTAATGAGTCTGAGGTAGATGTATATTTTCCACTCGACTGTTTTGCAGGTGAATCAGTTCGAGTTAAATATTTCGCTTATAGTTAGTGCCTTAGAATATCCGTGTCAAGTATTGCGTGACAAAATCGAGTCAGAACACCAAACTACATCGTCATGTCTCTGTGCTGAATCAACTCTTAATCCTTATTGGTCGTCTGTTTAGTAATCTTCGCTCAAGTGAGTCCGTCCATTCCAGGGCACAAACATAAGTCTCCGCTATATAAATCGTATATTTCAGACATGCGTAGTTAATGTACAAGCAGACTGGACCGCTTATCACCATATTATAAAAATTAATTATAAAATATCAAGCCGCAAGCGTCTATGATTTGTGATATTATGACTGGTGAACTAGGAATAAGTTAAGAATTGTAAATCGTACGACAGTAGTCAATAGGTGAAATGAAGGCTTGCGACAAAAGGAATACGAACATATATGATCTATTTACATATTATTTATCTGATCAGGATGCATGTAATAGTAGTCCTCAAATAACTTGTACCAGTTAGCTATCATTCATCTTTCGTTCAGATATAACAACCTGTTGCATAGTATTACTGATACTAGAGTTTCTATAACTATATCAAAACTTTGGACAATTCTTAACTACTTATTTTGATTATACTTAGCGGCATAAATTATTCAAGTCAATTTTGGACGCATTTGCATGGTTGAAATAACCTGTGCTGAAAATTCTATACTGTACCAAAATATAATATTGAATAAAGCCATTAGTAATAATAATAATATGTTTGGTATCTCGAAATATTTGAATAGTAGTATGAACGAGAAATCCGTGAAAGTTTCGTTCCTATATGTAACCCTCGTGCTATTGATAGAAGAAACCAGACAAGTAGTGAATAGGTATTTATTTCGATCTTAGCGCAGTCACAGTGGGGCGTGGGATTATCTGTTCAGACAAACAAAGGCTTTCAACATTCAATATAAGATAATAGGGAATATAATGCTTGTACAAAATAAGGAAGTGAATGAATACTTGAGCAATAATGTTTTGGCGTATGCTTGGTTGTTTGGGGTCAACTCTTAACCAACCAACCTATGCTCCCGATGGAGCACAGGCCGCCGTCCAGGATTCTCCAACCCACTCTGTCCTGGGCCTTCTTTTCTAGTTCCATCCAATTCTTGTTCATTTATCTCATGCCTATTTCTATTTCCCGGCGTAATGTGTTCTTTGGTCTTCCTCTTTTCCTTTGGCCTTGAGGATTCCATGTGAGGACTAGTCTTGTGACGTAGTTGGGTTCTTTCCTCAATGTGTGTCCTATCCACTTCCAGCGCTTCTTCCTGATTTCTTCCTCCACTGGGGTCTGGTTTGTTCTCTCCCACAGTACGTTGTTTCTAATAGTGTTCGGCCGACGGATCTGAAGTATTTTGCGTAGACAACTGTTAATAAACACCTGTATTTTCTGGGTGATTGCTTTCGTATTTCTCCAGGTTTCCGCCCCAGTAGACAGTAGAACTGTCTTTACAATATCTCCACGGTTATTGATTCTTAAAAAAATCAGAATATTGACAATAAAGATGGGTTATATGATCACACTACAAAGCATGCTGCAGGAAAACTGGTTAAGTCATTACATAAGTTTCCTAGACATTAAAAAAATTATGAGAACTTTAATAAGTACTTGACCGTGGTTTAATCCGAATTGTTTTGTCTAGAAACTACTTATTCATAGTAATATTGATCGTATCAAGCTACTAGAAATATATTCGACCGAAAACTTTTAGAAGTAGTTCATATGGTATATATGTATAGCCAGTCTAGGGTAAAAATGTATATAAATATATAAAAAGTACAGCCAATATAGGTAAGTAACCAGAAAAAGAAATTATAAAACTCGCCTGGGTTGCTTTTTGAATTCGTTGTATTTGCCAGTGTTAGTTGTATGATTTTGATTAAAATCCTCAGCCATCGTTTCGGAATACCTAGCTTATGTGTCCAGTATTTAAAAAAAAATTTAACATAACACTTATATATCAAAGTTAAAAGGTCTGGGGAGTTGTAGATGAGGCGGAATGAGGAAAAAATTTTCTAAGTAGATGCAAGGTCTGATTAGCTACGTGGTTAGATTTTATCCTGCATCCGAAACTGTCAACATCCTTGACTGACTAATCGGATGTGCTCAGCGAACCGTTTTAGTCATTTGTAAAGATTTATCATTTTTACATTTTGATTCCGTAATGGATTTGTCAGTTAAACGATCTAACAACACGTATGGTGGTTCATGATCTAGATAAGCCGTTTTTAGCATATCAATACTTACTGTATCGATGTTTCTATGTTTCTCTATCACGAAATATTTAGATTTTCTTGAGACGACCTTGAAAGGACTTTCAAATGGAGGACTGAGTGG